ACCCACATGCATACACACACTCGTGTGTCCATATGTGCACACACACACACTCGTACTGCACACCCACTCACATACCCACATGCATACACACACTCATGTGTCTGTACGTGCACTCATACTGCACATGTCCCACATGCAAACACACACTCGTGTGTCCGCATGTGCACACGCCCACTCATACTGCACACCACTCACAATACATACGCATTCACACACTCGTGTGTCCATACATGCACGCACACCCTGGTACTGCACACTCACTCACATATCCACATGCATACACACACTCGTGTGTCCATATATGCACACATCCCCTCGGACTGCACACCCACTCACATACCCACATGCATACACACACTCGTGTGTCCATATGTGCACACTCACACACTAGTACTGCACACACATACCCATAAGCATACCCGTGTGTACATTTGCACACACTCCTGTGCCCACATGCACACTCACGCACATCATACATGTACAAATGCATGCTTGCGTGTCCACATGCACACCTACACACATATCCTCGTGTGCACACATGCAAGCTCACACATCTACATGCACACCCACACCACACAGATGTGCATGCACTCACACGTGGATGCAGGCACACAGACAGTAGAGGCTGCTCACCGTTGGTGGACAGTAGGGAATGGGCAGCATTCTGCTGTGGCAGCCATTTGATCTTGTTGATTTTCTCCTCTATCTCCAGACTCTTGAGATAATCGAACTCGGGTTCATGGCTCTGGAAGGTGCTGTAGACATCATATTCACCCTGGCTGTGGGGCGCATTTTTGCTCTGTGGGGAACCCCAAAGAGAGTCTGAGCACAGGCATGGCAAGGGCACGAGGCTGATACAGAGGGGACAGCATGATGGGTGAGTCATAGGGGCCTGACCACCACGAAGACCTGTGCCAAGAGGGCAGGTGAAGTCATCTGTGGTGTTAGCCTAAGGTTGGCTTTTTTAGCTATTACAGTTAGCCCCATCTGGGCTCTAGCTACTTTAGCTGCAAACACAAGGTCTTGAAAATCATCATGGTCTTGCAAATCACCCACAACTGTGGGACTAGGATAAGAGAAAAATTGCTTTCTACACTGGGCAGCGAGACTTGAGGGAGACTGCAGCAAGACCCTGGTGAAAATGAGACCCTGGTGGTAGAAAGACTGTGGCATTGCTGTGGTGAAACTGTGGCAAGGTGTAAGCAGAGGAGCCCTGAGATAAAGGCCATAGTTAAAGGTGTTTGCTGTTCTTGCAGAATTTGAAGGGGAAGCTGACTTATAACTGCTCTGAGGCAAACCTTGCTGGGTAATTTGGATTTGACTGCTGAACTGAAGCTACAGCTTGGACTGAGGAATTGTACCTTGAACTTGGGCTAAAACCTGGGCTTGCTTTGGGTGATATTCTTTGCATCCCTCACTCTTCAACTTCCTTCCCTAATAAACCCCACTCTCTACCACAATTGTGAGTCGACAATGAATAAACAAACCGTTTGCTGTTGCTTCTGGGGCTCTAGAGGCCCCACAGGGCTGGGCTGTGGGCTCTTTATCTGCTTTCTGCTCTAGGCGGTGAGGGGCTGTGCTGTTCTTACCCCCTTTGTGCTCCCATGACCCATTTTCTCCTCTTTAGATACCATCCCACTGTCCACCCCATTGCACATTCTGAGGCCCAATCACTGGCTATGCAGCTGGCCCCTTGAAAGCCAGGGAAAATAACAGGAAGTGAGTGGCTCTAATCAGCTGACCACCTGCCAAGTGCCACATGGAGCAGTGCTGTCCATGGGCACATCCTGTCCTCACAGCATCTGTGTGAACACTACAGCTGCCCCATCTACAAAGTGGAGGCTTTGGGAACAATGACCTGCCCAGTGTCCACTTAGCAGCCATCTCCTCCAAGTCAGTAAATGCTCATCCATGTCTCTGACCCCCCATGTCCCTTCTCTGACTGTGTCCATGGTATACAAGGAACAAGGACAAGCAGGTGCTGAGCACATCGGGCAGACCCCTTGCGTCCAGACTTCTTCCATGCCCACAGAGACCAAGTCCACACCACCCCGGGGGTGACTCAGTCTCACATGACAACACAATCACAGCAGATGTACGGTCACGTCGGACTCCAAAGACAACAGAGCCAAGCTCCATCCCTGCTAATTTTAAAACAGGTCCACCTGTCCTTTCTCTCCTGTCCCTTTGGTCCCCTGCCCTGCTGCTCAGTCCTCTTGTCCCTCTGTCTGCTCACCCCATCACCTTAACCACTGTCTGCTCACCTCATCCCCTCACCCACCCGGTGCCATACTATCCACCCACTACCCCCGTCCACTCACATCCCGTCTGCTCACCATCCCTGCTCACTCACTGCCCCCTTCACTCACCCACCTGCCCACTGACACCCCCGTCCACTCACATCCCGTCTGCTCACCATCCCTGCTCACTCACTGCCCCCCTCACTCGCCCACCTGCCCACTGACACCCCCATCCACTCACACCTCCGTCCATTCACACTGCGTCTGTCCAGAGGCTGCCTTGTTCCTGAGCACATTCCAACTCTTTGCTTCTTTCCTCTCCAGTTCACTTTATCCTCCAGCCAACCCTGACTATGAAACATCCCCAGCCTGCACGCACCTCTGGCTCCCTCTGGAAGATGACGACCCGGCCACCCTTGTCCCCTGTGGCCAGCAGCTCCCCGGTGTGGTTGAACTCGACAGTGGAAATGATGTCAGCTGTTGGGAGAGATGAGGCAGGGTGATTGCCCAACACTGTCAACATGCAGGTCCTTTCACAAGGACTGTCCTCAGGTAGCTGCCCTTCCCTGGACAGTCCCCTCCCAGGACGGTGCCCTCCCTTGACAGTGCTCTCCCAAGACAAGACCCTCCTTGGACATCCCTCTCCCTGGTTAACTCCCTCCCTGGATGGTCCCTTCCCTTTCTCAACAACTCCCTTCCTGGACAATCTCCTCCCTGGACTGCCCGCTCCCTCTGCAGGGACAGAACCCCACGTCACCAGGGTTATAACCTCAGGGGCTGGCATGGGAGTACGGCTGGTGGGCACCAGGGCCTTCTTGCCTCACTGCTCAGAGCTGGGGGCCAGGGTGAGGAGACAGGCTGATACTCTGGTGACACACTCCAGGCCCTCCTGCTCTGAGTAGAGAGAACAAAGTGGTAGCGTGCTCAGCCCCAACTCACTGCTCAAAGTTGGGGACCCATAGTGTGAACACGGGGTGACACACTCGGCCCCACCTCACTGCTCAGAGTTGGAAGACCCATAGTGTGAACACGGGGTGATATGCTCGGCAGAGTTGGGGGACTCATGGTGTGAACACAGGGTGACACACTCAGCCCCACCTCACTGCTCAGAGTTGGGGGCACACAAGGTGACTCACTAGGCCCCACCTCACTGCTCATAGTTAGGGGACCCCTGGTGTAAACATGCAGTGACACGTTAGGCCCCATGTCACTACTCAGAGTTGAGGCCCCCAGGGTTAGAACACAGGATCCCGGGGGAGGAGGTTGTTCTGTAGGTGATGTGGGCCAGGGTAAAGGGACACTCCAGCCAGGTGAGGCTGGCAGATCCTTGAGGTGGGGGCAGCAGAGGAAGGACTTGCAGTGGCCTGTGCCATTGTCCCCTCAGGCCTCTTGTGGTGACTGTGTCTCCAGAAAGCCTCATACCCCGAATGCTGCCATCTGAGGAAGTGGACAGCCCTCCCTGGGCAATTCCCCCTCTGGATAGGCCCTGAGTGGAGATGACCCATGTGGAGGTAGGGTGTATGGGAGAGGGTGGACGGCTGGGCCTGGCACACAGGGGCTGGGAGGGTCCCCACCTCCATGAAGCCCTCCTGGATTTCTCCCAGCTGCACTGCTGACCACTGCCAACACCTGCAGGTTCCCTGACTCGGGGGGAAGGTGACCGACTGATGGGTCAGAGCTGGGAGTCTCCCTTGAGCAGCCTCCATCCTGACCCAATGCCAGGGTCTCTGCAAAGCATCCAGATCCTACCCCTCAAGTTCCCACAGTGGACTCCGGATGACCCCTCAGGGCATCCACTTCGTGCAGTCCAGCCTCTTTGCCACCCCCTCACACAGTCCATCTTCCCCATGTCCTCCCCAAGTGGGTCAGCCTCGCCCAGCAGTGAACTGCAGCCCCTTTGATCCACTCCCTAGGCTGACCCTCCAACTGTCCAAAGCTCTCGGTGACCTGGGACCCAGGCCAGACCCAGTATCCACGTGCTGGTCTGGAAGGCCACCACCTCTGCTGTCCCTGGGCAGAGCCAGCTGGTCCCCACCAGCAGACAATCTCCTGGGACTGGGGTCTCCAGGACCTGACCAGGCTGGCCTAGAGTCCCAGAAGGAGGAAGAGCTAATCACACTGACCACAGAGGCCAGGCACACCCAGCCTGGATCTCTGCAGACCAAGAACGGCGCACACCCACAGCCACGTGCAAGGGCTTCCTGCTGCCTTCAGTCCAAGAGCAAGGGAGCCCCAACCTCTCCACCTCCCCGCTTCGTCCAACTCTCCTCCCATCCACCTCTCCCCCCATCTACCTCTCCCTCCCCTCATCCACCGCTTCCCCCTCCACACTAAAGGGGGCACCTCCCCTTCCAGGCCTGAAACCCCTCCCTGTGATCTCCCCCCAGGGGTCATCCTGGTCACCACTGAGTCCCCAAATCCACGCAGCTGCTGCCTTCTTCACACCCCACTCCAACCACCCCTCTGCCCTCCACACAGAACCTCACAAACCAGTGGCCACAAGGTCACAACTGTCCACACGGGAAGCAATCAAGACTTCTGCACATGCCACGGGCAAGCACCCCATAGTCCTTGTCCCCCTCCACAAGATAGGGGGACACCTCATAATCCCTTGTCCCCATCTATGGTCTGGTGTAAACACCCCATAGTCCCTCACTCCCTCCACGGGATGTGGTGAACACCCCATAATCCCTCATCCCCCTCCACGGGATGAGGTGACGTATAGTCCCTCACTCCCTCCACATGACAGGAGGTAAGGTCCCCGTAGTCCTTCGACCCCATCCACAGGACAGAGGTTTAAAACATCATAGACCCTGGTCCTCCTCCATATGACTGGGGGGGGGGGTAAAATCCCTCATCCCCCTCCACATGCCAGGGGTAAACACCCCGTCATCCCTGGTGCCCCTCCACGTGATGAGGGGTACCCATCCAACATTCCCTATGGTCCCTCACAAACGAATGGATAAATACTTGTTTGGTGCTTGGACGTTCACACTGACACAATCCAGAATTGCTTGGTGACGAGGAGAAATGAACCACTGAGTCATGGGAGGACGTGGGAGGACCTCACACGCACACTGCTGTGATGTGCTGAACCAGCGGTGGGCGGACCAGCCCTGCCCACAGGGACGTGTACGGCGCACGGACAGCCCGTCTGCAACACCCCACCCGCAGAGCCACCCTGAAGCCCCTGTGCCAGTCCTTCTCTGAGGGTCTTCCTCTCCTGCTGACCCTCGGTTTTGTCAAGCATGATGTCCTTCTCCGGGGCCTGGTCCCTCCTGACGACAACACAGACTCGTTCTCCTTACTTCTAAGGAGCATTAGCTCCAAATCTTCCAAGACCAATGTTCATCCTGTGGCTCCAACTACAGAACTTTATGGAAAAGGTCAAACTGCAGAAACAGAAAGTTCGTGGTTGTCGGGACTCAGGACAGGGACAGAGAGAATCTGGAGCATGGAGACGCTTCTTCAGAACACTCGCCACTCTGTGACACTGGAATTCTCAAAGCCCACAGGCCTCGGTGTGAGATACCAACCTGTGGGCTATAGTTAGTAACAACGTATCCATAGAGACCCATCAACTGTAGCAAGTGGAGGCCAGGCAGGGGCAGAAAACCGGCAGAGCCAGGAGCTCAGTCCCTTATAGAAATGATCTGTAAAAGCAGCTCTAAAAAATAAAACCTCCGTCTTAGTGCTGTGCTTACCCACCCCAAACGCAGGCCTGAGTGCACCTGCACAAAGCCAATGTTCACCCACCAGAGATCTGCTCCTCCGCCCCCCTCCCCCCTCAGCGCCTCCTTGATAAAGCTCCTCCCCTACGGCCTACCCACAAGGTCCACCCCCAACACCTCCCCACTAGGTCCTCCCCCACCGCCTGCCCACGAGGCTCCTCCCCACCACCCTCAACGCAGCTCAGCCCCACCCTTCCCCTACATAGCTGCTCCCCACACACACTGCTCCTACGTGCACACACACACACACACACACTCTCACACGTGCAGGTCCTCCCCATCCCCCCACAGTTCCTCCCCACACACAACTCCTCCCCCCCACGCAGCTCCTCATCCACCCAGCTCCTGCCCCCTCCCAGTCTGCACCAGTTCTTTTTGGTACAATGACTAGTATTTCCGCAACTTCCTTTGATGCTTTGGTCGATCAATTCAACGTTTAGGCCTAAGAAATGCAGAGCATGTTCCTCGCCCTTGGTTTCCTAACTCCAAGTGTGCCAGTCAGAGGCTGTGAGGCTGGCGCGGGACAGGACAGGGTTCAGATCTGTCGTTACAGGGTCCCTGTGGGTCTACTCTGACTGGGGGCACTTAACCGCCACTTTCCTGATGATACTTGGCTCGGACAGAAGAGGCGGGAAGTACTTGAAGCCATGACTGAAGGAAGAAACTGAAAGGAAGCACTGACTAAGGAGAGTGCACAAACCCAGCATATGAACAGCAGTTTGGCCATTGTGGACAGTGCATGTGTGTGGGGCACGAGTCCAGGCCAGAGGCAGAGGAGGTAGTGTCCACAGCAGTGGCTAGTTGACAACCAAGAGGTACGGTCTGCCCCCTGTGTCCACCACCCTGACATCAGAATCATGACGTCGCAACCACCTTCACTCGGTGCCTGGCAGTGGTCATTACCCCATCAGCCCCACCTCAGGCCATGCTCACAGCGTCTCATACCTGGAACCTGAGGCCTGCAGTCAGCACTGGACCAGGGGGCCTGTCCTCTGACTGGGCCCCTCTTCCGTGTCGGCATCTGGAGCAGTGACCTCTGCAGAGTGTACTGTCCTTGAACATCGCAGATCACCAGCTACTGTCCCTTTACAACGGCCTTCTCTGTGGGGTAGCCCGCCTGCCCCCGCCCCCTAGATGGGAAAAGACTCCCGCTCCAGCCAGGAAGATGAGGCTCCTCTGAGGCCAGCAGGGACAGTCTCCGGCTGGGAGTCCCACCCCAGACACCCTTGGACACGCCTCTGAGGCCAGCAGGGACGGTCTCCGGCTGGGAGTCCCACCCCAGACACCCTTGGACACACCTCTGAGGCCAGTAGGGACTGTCTCAGGCTGGGAGTCCCAGGGCCCTGAGGCACCCTTGGACACTCCCAGGCAACGTGTTAGTTTGATGGGGTTGGACGTCTGTTGATCTCCGCTCTGGTGGGTACAGCACTCGCCTGTCTGTTCACTGTGGTGGCCTGCGTGCTGCTGTGACGCTGGGGTTGATGCTACAGGTGTTTCTGATGCCAGCAGGTCACCCACGGTGGACAGGTTCCAGCAAAGGGGGGTGTTGCATAAGGGAGAAACACAGGGACATACAAAGCACGTGTAGAAGGGGTTTTTTTTAGGTATTTTTATTTTTTTTATTTCTATTCATTCATTGTTGCACACTTTCCTCCCTGCTCACCCCTCCCCCCAGTTCACTTTTCTCTTTGACAAGTAAAAAAAAA